GGACACACATTGCGGAAAGCACCTAACTGAGTCACGAGACAAGCCCTCACATGGAACCCTCAAGGCAAAAGGAAAAGAGGAAGGCCAAAGAATACATTACGCCGAGAAATAGAGAAAGATATGAGAGGAATGAACAAACGTTGGACCTAACTGGAGAGAGAAGCGAAGGACATAGTTTGTTGGAGAAAACTGGTGAGCGGCCTATGCTCCATCGGGGGTAACAGGCGTAAGTAAGTAAGTAAGTTGTAGTGAAAGAAAATGGTAAGTTTTAACATAGTAGGAGTCATACAGTTGTTGTGATTTAGGGTATTCATACAGAGCTTATGTAATAACCTAACATCACTTCTAGGTTGAGATTTGGACTAAGATTTAAAGTGGAAAAATATCATCTAGCTTCACTAGACATTCTTGACTAAGCACTGAATCACATCAGGTACTTCGAAATGCAGTTTGCCTTAGAGCGATTATGTTGTATAATTTAGCTTGGACACCATTTCAAATCCACTTTCTGCTTTCATGCAAGATACACTTTATTAATTCCGAGAATTTTGAGGACAAGTATTGTCAATTTTTACTTTGTTAGTAATGAAAATTTATCTTGTACCACACTTTAAATTTCACCCACGATGCGAGAGTCGTTATCTTAATCCCGATTGATTCGCTCAAGGTCGACAGGATATTATGCTGTTAACTCTTAAGCTTAATAACTAAATTTCATGACAGCATCACTGATTTGTAGGTTTATAAGTCAGAAGGTAGTTTTTGTGACAACTATGTTTTAAGGAAGTCGGCACGTTCTTAGGATATTCGAATAACGTTTTCAACAACTCCATAACAAAATAAGTCATAAACAAATGTCATTACGTGAGTAGTTTCAACACCTTTACAATCTGTAATTTACAAATTTTTAACTTTGCCAAAATAATTAAAAAAAATTATTTCGTAATCGAAAATGCTTCCTTTGGGATTTGCATTTTGATTTCAATCTAATTGCGTCATCTTTTACAATAAAGCACCTATTAATTTTAATTCACTTAACTAATCTCACACACGCAGATAATTTTATTTTTCATCAGGTAATAGTTTGTAATTCATTAGTCAGAATTGTAAATTTAATTTGTATTTTTCTAGTTTTGTTTAAAATTCTTTCCAAATTCATGAGCTTTCTAAATAAGTATAAGTCATCTGGAAAGGGATTTACTACGCTGATAATACAACCTTCATTTTGAAATATTCAAATTATGCTTTCATAAATATTATACTTTAAATTCAAGATACAAAATTTTCTTTAAGTTAATTTAAAAATCAGCATTGAGTATTCAAAAAAACAAAGAATACTTGAGCAAAGAGTTGCTTTCAATAAGTTCATCATCAGGTTCTCTGCAGTTATAAGTCCATAATTATTGTGTTCAACAACAAATTCCATAGAAAAATAGGTGAAGTAGCGATCGGATCTTCTATAGGCCCCGATCCTCACTGATATTTTCTCTGCCAAACAGGAAAATGAATCATTGAAAGACATCTATAATACGCTAAAAGTTATTACTGCCGATATAAATAGTTGACACTTTAATTTTGTGTGATGAAACTATTAATCAGCAAGAACTGTTCAATGTTCAACTTTCTGTCAAATTCACCAGGAAAATGGACAATGATAATAACAGTATAGCTTTCTTTAATATTCTGCTTTCTAAAAGGTTAGATGGTCCCATAAAAAATGTATTCTGTACGAATACATGGACGGGTCAATATACCCTTTTTTCATCTCTGTCCCAAACAATCTGCCAAAAAGGAGCTGGATTACGATTTCTCTAAACTTGAAATTATAAACCTGTTATCCTCCTTCCTATTTATTTTGGTGTTTAGTTCTTGATCTACACACTCATCTTTCCCAGTTCACATAAATTCTTTTTCTTGAATTTACCTTTATCTTAAGCACATTGCTCAGATTGCATAATATGTTGACATGTTATTATTATTATTATCGCCATTTTCAAGATGAAATTCTCCTACTATGAATTTTATTCACACGATTTATTATACTATTATGTTATATCGGTTTTAACTTGACACTGTACCTTGAGTCATTCTGATCTACATTAAATGACCTTGTTAATTTACATAAAACACAATCTCGAAGCGTTTAAACCAATAATAGCTGCAAAGTTACACAATTTTTGACAAATGACATTGTCTAACTCATTAAAACATGCGTTATTTTAGTCTTTGTAAAATACTACAATAATTATGGACTCATAACTGTAGAGCCTGTTGAGATGAAGTTAGTGAAAACAAATGTTCGCTCAAATATTCTTTCTTATTGCATTGTCTTAATGGACGTTGTAATTAATAAGCATGTGGCTGCTGGCAATAAATCGCAAAATACTACAATAAGAGTGCGAACTATTGACAATTTCTTCACTCAAGTTGATAATTAATTAGTAGGTTCGTTTAGTTGATGTTTATGTCACTTTTGTAGTAGTAAGTGGTTAGAATTCCTCAAAAACAATCGTCTTAATGTTTACTGAAATACATTAGCTACCTATTATCATCCATTGTTGATTGGAAATTGATTTTGACAATATTTCTCTCGGTTTTAATCGACTTCGTGCAAAAGACAGCACCTTATAACCTAATCTTAAAAACAGTCACTTTATTTCCTAAAGAATGACATGAGGTTGAAGCACTGGAAATTAGATGAGATTTAACCCATAGTAACTGGCCGATTATATTTAATAATGAACAACTTTGGTCAACAGAAGTGAACACTAGTCTCTCTCTCTACTAGAAACAACGTATGCTCATACATCCATTAAATAGAATGACAGATGCCTGCAGAATAATAATGAACTTGGAAATATGTTCGTGCTGTCAGCAATATGTAACAAGGAAGTTGATCGCAATGATTCTAAAGTCTATAATACTGTAGACGTAAACGCATCATTCAGTAGATTCGTATATAGCAAACTGAATGATAAGTTGATAGAACGATCGCATAAATGTTTTGCTTAGCAGGTGTGAGATTTTTAGTGTTTTTAACTCTGATGTCATTATGAGAAAAGAGCTTAGACCTTGAGACAAGGTTAATGCTTTTGATGGTCGTTTATATTCTAGCTTTCTCCGGCCAGAGTCTTCGCGAACGTTCTTTGCCGTTGTCACGAAATTGCCATCTTTAGGATGCCTGTTTCGTCCAAGTTGAGAGCTTTGAGTTCCTCTTTACTGCAGTAATACAAAACGTAACCGTTCGTATTATCCATTTAACTACTGAGACCAGATAGTCACTGGTTTGTATAATGGGATGAAATTCGACTCATTTGAATTTGGATGTTTTAATCTTCCCACTGATTTTTGAAGAGAACGGTAATGAGTTCGAGTTTCAGAGTAAACATAAATTGTCTGATCCAAGTATTTCTATTTGACGAGTCCCAAACTGGACGAAATGCGGATCTTGGACTCCACTGACAGCTACCATCCTTCTCTGATTACAATAGATGTGACTTCCTGTTAATATCGACGAAATCTGCATAGAAAGCTCGTAAACCGAAGAATAAAGTTTAGACTTTACCGTTATTTCATAAAACACCTGACTATTTGTCATCTGATTAATTCGTCCATCATATTTATAAGTAGTATCACATGTTGCTTGTAGCTGACTGCATCATGAATTCTCTCATCTTTGTTTTTGCTCATATGTAATTGAAGCTTGAATAGTTATAAGATCAAGTAAATGGGACTCAGAAGCGGGGAAGTTTGATTCAAAAAAATCGTTTTCTTGTTAGTTATTTCATTCTCAAATCTGTGCAATCCCAAATAGAATTTTCTTTTCACTATGATAATCAGTACCATGTTTTTTTATTAAGAATAACCTCCCGAATTTTTTATTGACGCAGATGTGGTCGATTTGGTTCCTACTTAGTCTGATACGGTGAAACTCATGTCGCTTTAAGTACGCGTTTGTGTGGGAATATGGTGACACCTATGACCCTTTTGTTGAAGGCACATAAGTTTGCGAATCTCTCGCTGTTTTCGTTTCTCTTCTCCCAGTTCACTTCGTTGATAGTAAATGACCTTCAATATAATGGTTATTTATAGTTTAGAAATTTTTATTTTATATAAATAACGATGAATCTAATCAAATTCATTTTTGATTTTTAATACTTTTTTATTATGCTGCGGCTCAGAAGCTCCTGAAACTTCTGTTTTATGTTGGAATATAATTTTGAGTTAAAATGAAATCTAATAAACAGAATTTAACTTTATGAACAAAAAAACGACTAATACTAATGTTCAATAATTAAGATATGAACGATACTTTGCAAATTGTTTAGAAACAATTATTATTAGACTCACAGTTGAAAATATTCTTCAGTGTTGTTATCCTATATTAGAGAAAAGTTTTCGTTTACTTTTTCCATACTAAGAAGATCCGTAGCTCGTATGGAATTGCACAATCGACTCATACGAAATAAACAATAGTTTTTAGCAAATCACAAGTTATTAAACACTTTGGTGATAAGAATATCACTGGGACATTGTCATGTTATCAAAATTTGTCAGTTCTTACTACACGATATCATGGATGATGAGGCATTATCATTTTAAAATAGTCTATTTTCCCAACTCTGGTGACAATTCACAGAAAGCTTAAATTTTTTTCTGCAAGTTGTTAGGTTTTACATTTTATAAACGTTTTGTTTTTCAATTTTACTACAGAGCACAAAAGCTATCAAATAACGACACTATGATCATACTGTAAGAAAGAATATATCACAAACTGACACAAAGAAAACGAGAGCGGATTCGAACAAGTGCTACACTGATATTCTTCCTAGTCATATAACAACCCAACAAATCGATAACTCAATCCATTTTAGTGAAATTTATATATATATATATATATATATATATATATATATATATATATATATATTTATATACATGATATCATTTTAACACATTAATTATTTCTGTTTTTGCTTGTTTTATCTTCTAACCGATAGGTGTATTTTTAATCTGTTGGATGCCATTCTTTACAAACAACATTATACAAGGATTCTGTTTCAAATATCAATTATTACAACAATCTCAATTATGTCACATGCCTGATTGTATAACAAGCATTTGTGTATGGCTTGGTTATGTGAATTCAGTTCTCAATCCAATTATTTATACAATATTTAATGTTGAATTTAGAAAAGCCTTTAAAAAATTACTTTATTGTAAATCTTGATTTCAACATGGCGATATATTTATATATACATATATTTTATGAATAAATTATTATAACATGTAAATAAAATAAATACTAACATGATTGTATTTTTATTATGACAAACGTAATTATGCATATAATAATAGTCGGAGGTTTTTTACTCTTCAGTAATTTCTATTATAAACAGAATAGAAATGACAAAATATACAAAATTATAAATTAAAAACTTGCTTTCTTTGCTTTCATTTTCATAAGGATGTAGATTTGTAGCTAAATGAAATGATTTAAAGGATGAATTATGAATTATAGGCCTAAATTATGGTATGTTTATTGGCTGGCAGACGTGTATACAATGGTTAGTTGATGTCATTAGAAAAATCGGTATGCAACAAGAAGATTTTGTTGTAGACTGATATGGTCGCATAGTGGCTGTATTCTGTCTGTATGTTAGAAACAAATTCGGTTGGATAATCAAAGCTACAGCCATTTTAAATAGATTCTGTGATTTTCTCGTACTTACGACTATCATTATAATCACAAAAGCGATGCCTCATATATATTATTTGGTAATCAAACTATTTGCATTCACCGAATTGAATCTAATTAGCTCATAATTATAAATAACCCATATAATTACTAAAAAAAATTTCAATCTACCTTATCAAGTTTCACTTTGTGTATTATTTGTTTTTCAGTGTATCTTGTCTCAGTTTCAATGCTACATCGGGAAGTGTATAATTTATTGTCAGTAGAGAAAAACGTGATACACTTTGTTGCTTCTCATAAGCCAGTAATACTTTAGTTGACTTGAGTTTACATAGTCATTATGTTTGTTTGTTGTTTATTAAATGGAGTCAACTAAAACACGAGTAGTTGCATATCACCTTTATTTACCAGTTAGAAAGAGAATAATTATATCTGATAAACTCATCACTTTGTCGCACTGAAGAATTGTTAGTAATGCAAATATTTATTACTAATACACAGTTGTATGAGATTTTGAATTATTCGGTCACCCATTTCACTGATATTTATGCAAAAGTCAACAAGCAACCTAACATCGTCCATATTTCATATTTTGGATCCATTGAAATTCACTAGTATATGTATGAATCATTGCTAAAATTGAACCGTGTAGTGAGGATTATTTAGCATATAGCAAAATCAAACATACGTCAAGAACTAGTTATTAACTATGAAACCGGGTTAAAAGCTGTCCCTGCCTGTTCATAATGTACGAATAAAGCATTGGGAACGTTCGCCGAAAGATGATTTATTAAATGAAAGCTTGTATCTGAGGACGCATGGACACGGACGCATTGAGCAAGGAAGAGAGTTTTGGGTAGATTTTAAAGCATCCAGATTCATAACCCACTCTAATATCCTGTGTATACTTGTGTTAATCAGAAGTATTGAAACTCCCAATAGGGAGGCTGGGAAGGTCTATAAATAATAATTTTCTGAGTTCTTTACACTGCTGAATATTTGGGCTTAACACGTGATCATATGGTAAATTTATAAGTTGAAAAATTTGAATTTCTAGGAAAACAATCTTTGAAAGTTGGACATAGCGCCAATCAACTATTAAGTACTAGTCAGTTTGAACATTTATTTTATGTATTTCAAATTAGCATATCCATATATATATATATATATATATATATATATATATATATATATATACATATCAATGACTAAATAATTTGCCTTTATAGTCTATTAACCTGTATTATATTATGTAGACGACAAGATGAAAAAAGAACGTCTATCTAACATTTATCATATTTTAGGACAATGAGATGAAAAGATGAAGTTTGTCATATCATTACCAAATGAACTAACTGTTTTAAAAAGTTTTTTTCGAATTTATGTAGTCTAAGAGAAATAATTTTTTGGAAATAATCATTATTTATTTATTTAACAATCGTTCATTAAAACTATAGTGTAAAAATGTTTAGAGTTATCAAGTAAAAATTCACGATGTATATCCATTTGCTGAAGTTGCAAGTCGACCGAAGTTAGACAACCATTGAAAATCTGAAAGCATTGGGAGGTCATTTCATCCTGGAATAGATTCTAAGATGCGGAGTCGTGCATGCACACTGATGATGAGTCCCTTATTATGATGAAACGTCCATTAAGCCCTTTCAGATTTTCAGTGGTTGTCTAAGTTTGATTGGTTCAAGAGTTCAACAAAATCATACATCGCCTCAATCTGACGAAATGGATATTGTCAGCTGAAACATTTTTTGTACCTAATAAAAATCAGGCATCTATATGATACATTTACTCTGCCGAAATTAATTGAAAGTAGTACTTTTAAAAAGAATGTTTAAAGACTTTTCTTAACAATAGAATAGTCTCCTTCAAAGCTGTCTTTTTTGAAACTAGTTCAACAAATGTCATTATGTATAAAGTTTCAAGATTATAAATGAATGTGCAAAGTTAATGAATATTAACAAACACTGCTTCATGAATTATGCCAAATGAATTTTTAAATGTTGCAGTCGTATGGTCAAAATGTAAAAAAAGTTTGGTGAAAGTCTTTCAACTTAATTTAAATCTGAGTTCGGTAGTTGGTTTTTGAAGGCCTTCTTTGTTAAGTTTCGTTTGTATTGAGACTTGGACTAGTAATATTTATTGCATTAGATTACTAGTGACCTTTTAAGTTTCTGTGTTTTAACTTCTTTTCAAATAAACGGAAGTAAATGTAGGACAAATAATGTGTGAAAATTTATTAAGAGTTTGTAAGTAATATGCTTCTAAATATGACCTTAATGTACTTCATGTCATCAGTTTCTCCCAGCTGGCCTTAACAGAGACCATAAATATTGAATTCGCCTCTTCTTAAGGTAATCGAAAATACGCATGACTGATACAATCGGTGTATGAAATTCAAACTAACTAAATGTATCATTGTATTATCAGAAAGATCCTTTGTAATAATGAAGTTTTGTAACACATTTACGCAAAATATCATTTGTAACTCTACTCGTATCATAGAATTCCGCTTTATTCAGTGACAATGAAAAGAAACTAAATACTATCAATAGTACCAACGTTGTAATCACTATGACATGAATTCATCCGTACCATGTAAGATGATGCGACAATATACTTTATATCTGTTACTTAATATATATAATGAAATTACTCCACATTTTGGGTCTCTAATTAAAATTCTTCATCGCATAAGTTATAACTAATTTTGTTTTTTCAAATAAATCATGAACAAAGAAACCTTTCATTATTAATTGTCTTTTATTTGTTTTTGACTTTTGAAACCTAATCACAATGAGCAATAACTTAAGCTTATTTTTGTTTTGATTTTATGTCAAATGTTCAATAATACTTATCAAAAAATTTCATTTGAAAATTATTTGAATTTTAATTTCATTATCATCGAAAATTATAATAGTGATTTTTATTAATTAATTAATTTCAGCAGCAAGTTATTGACTTCCTGCTATACATTTTCACCTTCATTAGAAATATAAATAGATAGCTTAAAATTAATTAGTAATGATATTTAATTGTGAACCAATTTCATTATCTTTTCATAAAGGTAACTTGATAAATGAAAAAAAAATTGATCTAATCAAATTGTTTACTTTGTTAAAGTGTATATCACCTGATGAATTCATCAATGTAAAATGTATATCATGGAAGGCTACTTACTTAAAGTGTAAGTAGTCTGTAAAGAATAATTATAGTTGGTTGATTGTTCAGTTTGTACCGCAGTAAAATTACTTTTTTAAGTAGTACATCTAGTTTTATCAACTAATGTTAGCAATTTGAAGTATCAAGTATAATTGCAATAATATTACAATCTGATGCATTATTTTGTATAATTTGTAAAAACCATTGACCCTGTTGTCACTTTGATGTTAGGTCTCTAGGCTTTGTAGTTGCAGTCTGTCGTAATATCATTAGGCTTATTTCATATGTTACTTTTGTGTTTTACAGTTCAGGTTTATTCATTCATTTTCTATTTTTTTTATCAGACAGAAGTTGATTTAAACGCAGAGAACGATTCGAGAATTATATTCTGTTAACATGTTCTTATATACTTATTAAATGTGTTTGATGTGATGGACCAGCTTAACAAAAATCTAGACTCTAATGATTTATGCTTTCTTAGACGTAAGGAATTTTGAACAAATTTTAGACAATTAATTACAAAGTTATTTATAGTGAATATAGACATTGTTGATTAGACAGTGATTGAGTTATCGATTTGTGAACAATATTTCACCCTTAATTCACTGTCACATTTTGTAGTCTTTTACACTAGTGATTGCATTCCATTTTATCATTGTTAACTTTTACATTGAGATTTGAATTAGTTCCTGGTTATAAAAAACTAAGAGTAAATTTCAAATATTTTGTTAATGATTTTCAATCATTCAGTAAGAAATCATCAGAGAGAGTTGAAGAAAGTGAATGGTTTTAGGTTATTTGAACAAAATAAAGCAACGAAATGTGTAAATCTGTTGTATCATTTTCAGTTGAACAATGAATGAATCGTTTGATGTCAGAACAGATATATCAAGCCTATTATATGAAAATGAACAAATGAGATATTCGAATGATGCAAAGTTTTTGTCTTTTCAATACTATTTTTTATTTTAGATAACTAACTACCTACTGAAGAAACACATGATACATTTCAACGATGGGAAAAAAACCATTTTAGGAAATCATGTATACAGATTATTCAACATTCATTATATGAGTATAACCAATGTCTAACTTTGTGTTTACACAAAAAGGAAGTTTAAACATTCTAAAGATAAGAAACATTATTTACAAAATTATAAAATTCTATATAACAGGAAATGTTCAATATGCAACATGTTCATCATGTAAACTGTCTACAAGATGTTTTTAATTTATCGAACAAGCAAATTTGGTATTTAAAAAAAAAACATGTACTAGAGCTACTTTGACTAATTTAAGGTCAACAAGCATTGAACTGAGTATGCGATGAAGAATTTTAAATCAGCAAAGGAAACAGTAGATCATGTAGTTATTCTACTTGGTTTGAGTACTAAGCATGAATCTTCAGGCTGAAAATGTTTG